AGGTGAGTGATTAGCTGAGAGGTGGGCAAATACCAGCTTGCAGGCCAGATCTGGTCCACCAGAGTTAGCTCCTGGGGAACACCCACTGCTGTATTTACCTGCATGGCCAGAGGGCCAATGATTGCAGCTCCTATCAAATTCTTTACCATAAAAAATGTATCAGAGGCCATGAACTCTGGTCCCTTGTTTGCTTTCACCTTAGACAAAGTTCAGGGGGAGACCAGCATTTCTCAGATTGGGCCTCCTGACCCAAAAGGGAGTTGTAGGAGGCATGGCTGTATTGTCGCCTTTGCTTTTCACCCTGCCTTCAGCGCTGGGTGGCCAGAGAGTGGGGATTTCTAGCCAGGCACCTAGAAATGCAGGTAGTGCTTTGCCAGCGCTAGTGTAGAGGTAAGGGTGGCAATACCATGCCACACTTCCCTTATTCCTACACTCCTCCCTTCAGAGCTGGGTGGCTAAAGAGTGATGGTATTTATAGAGGGGCCAGCGGCCCAGAAGTAAGCATGACCTTCCCATGCCATCTTTTCTTCTGCACTGCTTTTGGCCACTCTGGCTTCTGGCCACCCAGCTCTGAAGGCAGCATCACTGCCAGCAGCAGCACCATAGAAGTAAGGGTAGCAGTACTGCCGCCTCGCATACAATAATCTTGCAATTCCCTCCTCATCTCCTTTTTGACTCAAGGTTCTGACAATTGCAGCACTGTGACATTTCATATTTAAATAGCTGAAAAAATGAAATTCACAATTTTAAAAATCTTATGACCGTGTGAATTTGGTAGGGTCCTGTTTACAATTGCTGGCAAATTCATGTCAGCTGAAAAAGTTTTTAAAAGCTGTTACAATAAAGAGCGGGAAAGGGTCGTTTGTACCTTAAAATTGTTTTTTTTATGGAAGTTTTCTTTTAATTTTTTTAAACATGCATGTCAGTGCAACATTTATATGAATTTAAAGCTGTTAAATTCAGACTAAACATTCCAAAGTCAAGTGTTTTTTCATCTGTGCCTTTCTGGAGTTAAGTTTTATAGCAGTGTTCTCTGCACACCGTAGTCTGATAAAAAACCTTATTGCTGCTTGTGGGAACACCACATCTAGCAATGCTTTTGCTACTAATGGAAAATACTGCATTTCTTACTCTGATTTTTGTGTGGGAGTGCATGCTCTGGCTAAGTGAAAAATCAAATGAGAAATTGGCTACGTTATTGGGGTGGATTTCGTTAGCTCTGTTTTGATTTCCTTTCGACTTTTGCTTTTGCCTTTTCTAGCAAATATAATAATCTTTTCAGCACCCTTGTTGGTTTGGTTGGTTTTTTCGGTAACATGATTTCACTGCATTTGCTACCACCCGTGGGGATGCCATGACAGAGAGCTTTTCATTTCTGATTTAAATACAGGAGGCCCCCAAGATGCGACCGCCCAGGTTCCGACCCCCCGCACTTACAAAAATGGTTGTAAGTGCAGAAGGGGCTGGAAACCCCCAACTTACGTCCTCTGGAACCAATCGCATCGCAAGTCGAGGGCCTCCTGTATTAGATACTTTGTTGTGATGGGGCCAGCCTTTGAAAAAGCTCTGTCTTGTCTTTGATGCTATACATCTGGACTTAGAGTAAATCAGTATCAATTACCTAAAGAGTCTCTCTCGCATTACAGATCGTGCAAGCAACCCCTTGCCTCTAAAAGCAATGGTGAGCAGCCTGTGGCCCATGGGGTTCTGTGTGCAGCCCACTAGAGATCTTGTTTGCCACTGGACTCTCACAGTGTTGCCACATTCTGCTGGTTCCTGTCTCTGTGGGTTTTTCCTACCAGTGTTACTAAAGTGACACACACTTCAAGCAAGGGCATGTGCTGATTGCACACAATGTTGACTGTAAGGGCCACGCAGTCCATCAGCATCCAGTCAGAGCGCGGCGACAGTTCAGTCAGCACCCCTGCACATTCTAGGGACACAAGCGCTGTGAGCACAACTGCCCTAGACCAGGAGACCATCTTGGTTCCGATAATCTTGAGGCCCACTGAGTGAAAGGGCCCCTCCTGCAGCCCGCTCACTAACCTAGGTTGCCCATCGCTGCTCTAAATCTGCCATGTCATAACTTCAGTAATTGTTTTTCTCTTTATTTGCTTGAGGGGGCAACGTATTTGAAATGAAAAAAATACATGGGGGTGTTTGTGTGTTTTACAAGAGTTAACATATTTGTACACTAACATAAATTTGTCCATAAAATATATTCTCAGCTGAAGGTGATACGGTTGGCCTAGAAATCCACATTTATTATAGAGTCTCTGTAAAGAAGATCGTATAGATGATACAGATTAACTACCATGGCACTAGCAAGCATTACGGTGCTGGGATAAAACACACTTTATCATGGCATGTTCACTAACCTTTTGTAAAATGTACCACTAATGTTAGTTCTTTGAATCCCTGCTGTTAAAATCTGGTAAGTGACTCTTTGGGCATCAGGCAGTATTCAGCAAAATTTGTTTTTAAGTGGAAAAATTTCAGCCTATTAAACAATATTTAATCATTGTATGAAATTAACTCCTCCTTTCCCCAGCACTAATTAGGGGTGTGAATGGTTAGTCGATAGGGGCTGGAGCAGGGCCTGCTACAGGTGGGGGATGTTCCAGCCCCCATCCGCAGCAGACCTGGCCCAGCACACCAGCACAGTCTGGCCAGAACAGCCCCTGCCCGTGGGGGTGGGGGATACTTATTCCCTGTTTAATCGGCTAATCAGTTACACATAAATGGTTAACCAGTTAACTAACAAAATGGGATTTTACATCACAAACACTAATATTGATACACGTGTGATTCCTTCCACATCCCCAATTCATCTTCTTTGTTTCTGCTTTGGGGGAGCTGGGGCTCTCCCTTTCCGAATGAGCTAAACTGTGCCTTTACTCTTGGTAGGCTGAGAGAGATTGGATTTAAAAATTGTGGTGATGTTTGCAGAAAACCGGTCTTAGATAATAGCTTGGTGTCAGCAGTAATTTGCATTCTAATCTTCCTCCCCTTCCAAAGCCTGTGACTCGAGGCAGTCTGCTATCTCAAGGTGGCAAATTTAAAAACTGAGCTACATAAAACCACAAATAACTAACTAACCCTTTTGCAGCCTTGCTAGCATCCCTATCTACATACTGTAACTCCCCAAAGTCATTGTTTGTCCTCAGAGTCAAACCCCCTGTGGTTTATTCCCTGATGTGCTGACTCCATGTTGATTTTTTTCCTCCATATGTTCTCTTTGGATGCAAGCTGGGCTTCTGTTATTCTAGCTTATGGGACTCGACTTGCACAGATAGCTGACTGTCCAGCCTTTGTCTTGCAGAAACCTGTTAGTTGACTCTTCCTTGGACACAGACTTGAAAATGTATTTTCAGTTCATATATCCAGCTCCTTAAACATCATCCGTATGTCTCGAACCGTGCTTGAGAGGAGCAGTATGCCCCAAGCTACCAGGAGAGCTCTCACGTGACGCAGTGTAGTGATCAGTCCCATGGCAACAGTCTGCTAGGTGTAGTAATTTGATGTGTCCTGTTAGGAGTTACTGTTACAAAGCAGTGAGCCCTTTGCCAGCTGGCACCGCGGTGCTCTCTGCCACAGAAGGCAGTTCCTGTTAGTGCCACTCTCAGTGGCTGATGAATGATCTTGTTTTGTTCTGTCTGGTGCACCAAGGCCACTCGTCCATTACACTGTCCACACTGGCTAGGAGCAGTGTGTGTTTAACGGCAGCATTCAAAATAGATTTTAAACCAGGGCTGCTCAGCTTTCGAAGCTCCGGGGGCCATAATGGTACAGAACGTGCCAAGGGCTGCAACTTAAGTGTGGTTGTATATACATGCAAATAGATATGCAAATATATGCAAGTAGCTTTTCACAGTGACAGGTATGAATACAAAGATTAAGGCAGGACTACACAACACGCAGGCCCCATGTAAGTCAGTTCTGCTGCTATTAATAAAATGCAATATTTACCCGATTTCCACCCATGTGACAACACCTTTCATGAGCAATGACAGTCCAGGAATTTAACTAGTAAAATGCTTATCAACAGAAGACCATCCTATTGACTCTTTTTTGCTTTGGCTCCCAGCGGCGGGCCGCATGCTGAGCCCTGCGTAAATCCGGACTGCGCGGCGGGCCGCGTGCTGAGCCCTGCGTAAATCCGGACTGCGCGGCGGGCCGCGTGCTGAGCCCTGCGTAAATCCGGACTGCGCGGCGGGCCGCGTGCTGAGCCCTGCGTAAATCCGGACTGCGCGGCGGGCCGCGTGCTGAGCCCTGCGTAAATCCGGACTGCGCGGCGGGCCGCGTGCTGAGCCCTGCGTAAATCCGGACTGCGCGGCGGGCCGCGTGCTGAGCCCTGCGTAAATCCGGACTGCGCGGCGGGCCGCGTGCTGAGCCCTGCGTAAATCCGGACTGCGCGGCGGGCCGCGTGCTGAGCCCTGCGTAAATCCGGACTGCGCGGCGGGCCGCGTGCTGAGCCCTGCGTAAATCCGGACTGCGCGGCGGGCCGCGTGCTGAGCCCTGCGTGTAGGTGACGGCCAAGTCGGCCTATAGTCACAGGCCACCCCTGGCAACGGTAAACAAATGTGTTACCACCATAGAACCCTGATGGGCTGCATGCGGCCCACAGGCCACAGGTTGAGTAACCCTGTTTTAAAGCATGTGCTCACCTGGGTACTTCCTTTGCCACCGTATTTATGTGGTTTTGCCTCCTCTGCCGTGCCAGTGCTCACCACGTTAGGAACCACTGTTGTTTTGAACAGGGTTTAAACAGTTGATTCATTTGCTTTGAGACCCAATGTACACAGGACCAAAGAGAGATGGGGTATGTGGAGAGAGCAACAGAGAGCAGATACATGCTTTCTAATTTGGCATTAATGAAGGGGAGAGTTGTTATGAATTCCCAGAACAGAGCAGCTAAGGGTTAGTGTCTTCTTTTGGTCAGTAATGTTACCAGTATTAACTGTTGTGGTACCACTCTTACAAAAGCCATCTCTTTACAGTGACAGCTGATGAGCTGTGGAAAGGAGTTTTGGCAGAGTCTGGTGCTGGAGCAAGGAAGGGAAGAGGAAAGCGAACCAAGAAAAAGTTTAAAAGGGATCTCAATAGAGGCCAGATCATTGGTGAAGGTAAATGCATAAGTAACCACAGGACTAGTAAATAAGTTGTTCTTACGGTTCATAGTGTTTTTGGGTTTGGAATTAGGGTTCCCAGCTTCCTAAACGCACAAAACCGAAACCCTTGCATTGCCCTCTGCTCTGCCCGTTCCTGAGGCCCCGCATCTGTCCTGCTCCTTTTTGTGGCTCCACTCCCACTCACTCCACCCCCCTTCCCTCCATTGCTCTGGGGGGCTCAGGGCAGCGATTTAGGATGGATGAGGAATGATTGCAGGCTCTGGAAGGGAACTTGGATGCAGGAGGGGACTCCGGGCTGGGGCAGAGAGTTGAGGTGTGTTAGGGAGTGCAGGCTCAGCCTGCTCCCAGAAGCCGCCAACATAACTCTGGCCTCTGCGCATTGCCCGTGCCCACAGGCTCCATGCCTGCAGCTCCCATTGGCCATGGCTCCCAGCCAATGAGAGCTGCAGAGCTGGTGCTCCAGGCAGGGGCAACGAATAGAGCCCCGGAGTCTGGCCCTGGATATAGGAGCCAGACATGCTGGCTGCTTCCAGGAACCATGGGGAGCCAGAGCAGGCACAGAGCCTGTCATAGCCTGGGGATGCCACCAAGTGGACTTTAGTGGCTCAGTCTGCAGTGCTGACCAGAGCTACCACTGTTCCTTTCAGTCTGGTGTTTACTCACAAAACGGACATGTGGCAGCTCTATTGGTAGTGCCTGTACACAGTGCAGTGAGCACAAGAGCATAATTTCTGCGCAGTCATGCCAGAGTTAGATGAACCTCTCTTCTTTACAGTAGGTGCTTGTGGTGATGATACTTCATTTCACATAGCTCCAGCTTTTGGGACCAATTCTGTCTTGTGGGAAGCAATAAAAGTGACCATTTCAAACCTCTGTTTTATTAGATTCACCTTGTGCACTGCTGAGTTTTAACCTTCAATTTCCCATTCAGTGTTGGGCAATCTTCTCACGTGTTGTATTTCTTCAGGACGTTCTGGTTTCCTTTGGCCTGGCCTCAATGCGCCTCTGCTGAAAAGTGGAGCAGTCCAGACAATAAGTCAGCGCGACAAAGAGGAGCAGGAGAAGGTACAGTCTGAAATTATCCGGAAGAGGGATGAGTGGGAGAAGAGAAGAAAAACAAAGGTGAAGAGAGAGAGAGGCTGGACTGGAAATTCTTGGGGAGGCATCAGTCTGGGACCACCTGACCCAGGTCCCAATGGAGGTAAGAAGAGTGAATGTAATTTCTTTCTGAGAGAGAGGCTGGGGGGAGGAGTCCATGCTTTCCCAGTGTCGGACTTTTCATTATACGCATTCTATTCTAGGAACTCAAAGAACACTATCTGGTCGGTATGTAAACTAAAGAGTTCGTCATCTGAACTAGACTGACAATTATTATATTAATGTTCAGCACTGATTGACTGCTTCTCAGTTTAGCCTGTTAGTCTGTAAATGTGAAGCTGCTTTGTGTAGGCCTGACGTCTGCAGCCCTCAATACAAGATGTAGCCATATTTGTAGTGTTCCCTTTAGCTTAGTAACAGAAATAAATATTTCATGTGTTGCAAAAACAAGGAAAGAGCGGCAAATAACATGTCATATTAGAAATACAAGTTATAGGAGATAAGTATAAGACTTGCATATTTAAATCTCTTACACAGACTCAAGACCCTTCATGGCAAGGTGAGCCTAAATTCTGTGCCCTGGGTTCTCTGCAACAGTCTTTTGTGGTGACTAGAAAGTCTGTGGCAGCTTCATTTAAAACAAAAAAGTTATCAACAAATGTGAAAACAAGTAGCAGTCAGCAGAGTAATGCCTGTGAAACAGTTAATTTTGACATTTATATTGTCATGGTTGGGTTTTTCTGGTGCTATTTCACTGCGGTTTACCGGATAGTTCACATTTCTCAGCAGGATTGTTTCAAGCTGTCTGCAGACTCAGATGTAATTCAGCCAATTAAGCTTGATGTTTGGAAAGTTTATTTCAGAGCCATACGAGCATAATTTCTTTTCCTAAACAAAGTCTGGCTTCTGGAGCCTATTTCTGCTGCAAAGGATGGCTTCTGTGGCAGATTTAATGGCTGCAGAACACAGGGAGTCCTTACCAAATTATACGTGTTGAGGTTTTCTTATATTCAGTCCCTATCCCCAATCAGTTTTGGGGGGGCTTAGTATTTGTTTTATATAAATTCCCTACAGTGTGCCAATATTTTCACATAATATGCTGCATGGAATGCCATGCAAAGTTCCAAGGGTGCGTTTGCACCAAAGTCATGGAAACTGGAACCATAAATTCTCTGTGTCTGTCTGTCCAGACTTACCTGCAACTGACAGTGTAATTTTAATGCCCGCTGCCGTCCTTAAATCTCTTTCAGCATCACTGCTCTTGGGTTTCCTCCAAGTGTTGAAATTATTTATAATCATTTCTGAAGCCTACAGAAACTATACAATGGGAATCTCTGTCTTCCGATTAATTTTCCCAGACACATTACCCTGCATGTTTATAAAGTGAATCTCATGTGCCTACTTTCCAGTCTCTCTAGGCCTTTTTTTGTTCTGAGTTGGATACAGAACTCATTCTACTCTGTGAATTCCTAGAAAGCACTGAAAGAGATGCTGTAATTTTCTTCAGTTCTACTTTAAGTCAAAGGTGCATCTTCACTAAAGAGAATTCACACACACACACACACGCGCGCGCGTGCGCGCTAATCCGTTAATTAAAGAATTGGGAAGGAGAATTAGACAAACTGTTCATGAAATCTGCAGTAGAGCAGAGAGCCAGTAATCTGCTGCCTTCTAGTCCTACACTTTAAACACACACAGATGTTCTTATTGGGAGAAATTTGAGTGAAAGATTGAAGGAAAGAGGGAACAAAGGCACTTTGCTACAGACAAAGTGCTGTCAAGTGCACAAAATAAACTGAGAAAGGAAAGGGGATTTTTCCCCCACAAACTTTGAGTTGTAGTTATAAGTGTTGGTTGTTACTACAGAAGGAACAGTGTTTTACAGACAGAAATGTGATTTTTTTTAAAATATCCAAAACACATTTTTTATTTAAACTAGGAGCGGAACAAAGGCACTTTGCTACAGACAAAGTGCTGTCAAGTGCACAAAATAAACTGAGAAAGGAAAGGGGATTTTTCCCCCACAAACTTTGAGTTGTAGTTATAAGTGTTGGTTGTTACTACAGAAGGAACAGTGTTTTACAGACAGAAATGTGATTTTTTTTAAAATATCCAAAACACATTTTTTATTTAAACTAGGAGCTGCGCTCCGTGGGGGTAGGCAGCCTGGACTTCCCCCTAGCCACTGGGGCTGGACCAG